TAAATTAATATTTAATAAACTATAAACTATATAACTTAACAGGTTAGCAGTGGCTTCCTCCCGCCGTCCAAAGACATGCAGGCTAGGTTAATTGGTGACTCTAAATTGCCCCTAGGTGTGAGTCGTTGTTTGTATATGTGTTGGCCCTGTGGTGGAATGGTGGCCTGTCCAGGGTGAACCCCGCCTTTCGCCTGATGTCACCTGGGATTGGCTCCAGCCCCCCACCGACCTTGTACACAGGAAAGCAGTTGACAATGGATGGAGGTAAGCAGTGAAGAAAACCAACCAAAGCAATAATAAGAAGCATAATTTAAAAAAAATCTTAATCATGATGAACATTTACTTACCTTGATTCAGAAGAATCAAGGTAAGTGATTTACTTGTCTTGATTCATGTTCCAAATGTGTTCTGGCAGCTGCACAGTGTTGACTTCTCTTCTGTATTTGCAATGTGAAAATGATACTGACTATGAAAATAAAATGCTGTTTGCAATCATATAAGTGCACATTAAACAGCTAAAGAGCTAGAACCATATCACCATTAGGGCTGTATTCAAGAAGGTTTGGATTTGCAATGAAGTGGTGCTTTTTCAAATATCCTCCAACAAGCCTCATGTGGAATGAATGCTGTAATCCACATAGACGGGAAAAATGGTAATATCGCCCCCTGGTGACACAAACAACACTGGGAAAAAGGCTTGTTAAAAACGTTCAAATTCAGAATGAACATTCATTTTGTTAAGATAGGGATATTTTATGTTTGGTGTTAGGTTTCATCTCAGGTCCAGGCGTAAGCTTACAGCGTGCAGAACAGCTAAGTGCAGACAGCACTGACAAGTGTGATACAGGATTTTGTGCATCTCTCTTCTTGTGTGTCAGACATAATCCATTTTATATTTGAACAAGGGGTTGATTCAGTTGTGACAACACTTGGCTCATATTTTTTGCAGTATGGAGAGTCAAACCAGCTTTGAATCCTAATGCTTTTGGGTTGACTGGGAGCTTAAAAACTGACATGCAGCTCTGTATGAGCTCGAAAACTAACACTTTCATCAAGGACGAGTAGTCTTTATTATGGATAACAACAAAGCAATCAACAGTCAATAACCCAAACCAAATAGCATCACGATAGTGAAGGAACATGGAGGATAAATGACACATAGGGCCAGTAAATGACGTGGTAAAAATGACCAGGGGAATGTTCGGAAGATCCTGTGTACAACATTGCATAATTAACAAAGCACAAAAATACAAAGTAAATATTAACATAAGGCTGTGAAGTATGACAGGCATATCATTTGCATACTGTAACAGTCAAACAAATCTCAAGCGTTTCTGACACATGGGTACAGCTATATTTAGAGAATAAATATCAAAATTATGTATTCCTTCTTGGAGAAAACCGAGGCTAATGTTGAAAACAACCACTTTTAGGTGGGAAGAGCTGTTCAGAAATATTTTATTCATATTTCTCCATAGGCAGTGATCTTCTGCTTTCTCTGTTTCCTAACAAACAATGCAGGCTTGAACCTATACGAACAAACGCAGAGCACATTAAGCAGCTTGAAGATATCTGGTCTGTGTGAATGAAGCTGTGCTGCTGTTTTTTTTCTCCCTGTTCTTTCTCAATCCCCTCAATCTTCAGCTAATTTCCACCAAACCTAAAGGGTCACAATTTCACCGAGTTGCTCCTTTTTCTTGAGTAGTTCCGCATCTCGAGGCAGGAGACCAACTCTTTATCGCTCAGGATCAAGTGCTTGGAGCCCAGTTGGTCTTTAGCCTCTCTCTGCTCCTCTCCACATCCTGAAGTGAGGGAGCCCACATTGGCTTGTAAACTGAGTCAGGGAAAACCCTTATTGGCCTGAGAGAACATACTGTATTACCCTGTTAAGAATGTTGAATTGGGGATGCATTTTATTTTTCTGGGCAGAAAGTGATGGGAAAGAGTCTGCTGATGAGACAGTTTCCTTATCAAATGACAGCGGGCCCTCGAGCTGCTCAATGGAGGCCTGAATCACCTCAGCAGCCTGTTCTTCTAGGATAAATGTGGTAATTTGGTGCAGCTTTAATATCCCCTTTTCTACAAATATGAGCCTTAATTATGAAATACAATTGAAGGGGTCACTTTGATTAGTCAGATCAAGTCATTGCACCTAGATCTATGTGATGTAAGTAGCCATAGACTAAATTGGAATAAAAAAATTATGTTCATATTGTATATAAAATAAAGGATCTTTGCCCTCACAGGAATATCTGACTGTTTATTTTGAAGTCTACTGAAAAGGTTCATCGTACTGTGATTGCATTCCCGCTCATACATTTATTTATGTATATATTCATTTTGAACTCTGTTTCCCACCTCTTGAGTCCTCTCTGTGCACAGAAATTGCTTTTTGATATAAAGCTCATCTTATTTATGCAATCATTCTCAAGACTGGATGCTGATTACACACTCAGGCTCAGTGTATCCACTGTACGGGCAGTACAACCAAAACAGAATGCCATGTATTCCCTTACTGTGCATAGTAAAGCAGTTTTGGCCACAATTACAACATTTCAACACAGAGTCATTTGCACTCAGACCGCTGGACCTGCGCTACACTGAGTGCTGCTACACATACACTAATGGAATTATGTCAGTGCGGTTACAAACCGAGCACTGGCCAACCAAAGCGGTTGGGAGAAGCTTTTTCACCTCTCTCTTGTATCCCCAAACGAGTCCACGTCAGTCTTTTCCTGAACCCTCGTCCAGTCCACTCCATCTCCTGTTGCGTGTTTGTGAAACATATTTGCCAAACTGAAGTGAATCCCAAACCAATTAGTGTGGAGAGAGCGTACGTCACCACCCCCTACTACGATGGAGACACAATGCCAAATGAGCACGGAGGAAACCAGCTCACAAATGAGTTCTCAGTGGACTTTGATATTGGCAAGTATGTATTTTGTTTAATTCACTTCAATCAGACTTGGCTGCCTTTTCCTCACACCCAGTGAAGTGATTTCAAAGAAAATATTTAGGTCCCATCATAATCCAAATCCTACAACCTTCCTATGTGGTCCTTAATCATGTTTGTCCCTATGGACAAACTTAAGAAGGATATGTGTGATGTGATAACCTTCAGTTATTTAGTGCATTTTTTAGGACAGTTAGTCAGTGATGAAGGTGTCCCACAGTTACCAGTTCTTTTATTGCTTATTGCTCATTAAGGAACACTCTTCATTAATAGTAACACTATGCCATGAATTGGCAGTGGGTATGGATAACGAAGTGTTTGTTTTCAAAAACAAAACTAATAATTAACTGTATAAGAACGACAGTATATTATGTAACTAAAACTACCACATATAATCTCACCAGTTACCCATTACTTCGTTTAACATTTTTAACATTTCAGATTGTCCTGATGGTGGCACTATGAAAAGGTTCTTCATTCAACAAAATCACTCATTACAGAAAATACTGTATAAATGCATAGTGTGTTTATGGGGTTTAAAAGTTTAAAATTTGGCCTCAGGGTAGTGCTTGAAAACAGGCCAAAGGGTTACCAAAATGAACAGGTGTCCTGCTCTTGAGAGAATAAATGCGCACAGAAAATGGTATTCTAATCCTCTCAGTAGTTTAAGATAAACTGGCCACAGACAAACAAACTGATGAAGACACATTGCATCAACGGTGGAGCTAAAACTGTCTGAAACCTGAGTTACTTTATTCTGTCTATTTTGGCAACACCAGGTGATACAGTATATGCTACTCTAAAATAAGTGTAACTGGCTCACATTCAATCTCTTTGTAAATCAGTGGTAGCTAAACACAGGATGATAATACTTCTACAGAACTCCTCTTGCTGATAATCTGATAATTGTTTTTATGCATACCATGGAACTGAATATCTGCCTTTACCATAGATGTTTCCAATGGAGAAGTAAACTAATTGACACTCATTTTTATTATACGGGTTCTCATGTGGTGTAATTTAAGTGAAACTCATTGAGGAGCCCCTGTTTCTGGTGAATCCATGGCGGTTTAGAATAGAAACCTCACCATGTCTGCATTCAATGGCAATTTAATCTCGGATTATTTCTCGGATGCAACAAGGATACAGAAGTTTCCGGGTTTTCACCAAACGCACCATCCCCAGTCATCACGTGTGTTGGGTGTCCTCCTCGTCCTCTTCTGTTTGCATGTATCTGTCATGCCCTCTGATATGACTCTCAGGCAGAGTACACTATGTTAGGTTAGGGCGATCCCTCAAGTAAAAACAATAACTACTACTATTAAAGTGCATTTGACCGTTCCATAAAAGTCGTAAATACCATCTGTGAATATCACTAGTTTAATTATACTCACGTTTACAAACTGAGGTGTAAATGTAGATGCTTTTAACACTATGCATTCAGAGAGTGATTAACGTTAAGCAGGAAAATCAGCAAACAGCACTAACTAACCTCCTTTTACTCACTTTTTTTTTGTTTTTTTGCAGTTTTTGGTCCGTTTTTTGACACACCCCACTCAACAAGGGCCGCCGAACACATCATCTATGCTGCCTGAGAGGCTAACCTCTGGGTACATAAACACACTACCCCATCGCTTCAGTTCAGCAAGGTAGCCTCTTCGAAGCTAAGCTAGCGACCTATCCGGTGTGTGTGCTGTTGCTCCAACCTGCAGCAAACCGCTTCCTAGTTTGGCGTGACACGTAACCAGCTTGCGGTCTTCGTATGATGCCGGTGCCTATTTGATTGTCCGCGCTAGCTAGCTTACTCTGTAACTGTGTGTGAGGGGCGTGAAAGAAGAGGACGGCTTGCCACTGCCCACCAGCAGCAGCTGCTACGGGTAGTCTTGACTACGGCTGCCTCCTGCTGCTAACATAGCTGAAGTTCCTCATCTGTCTGTAGATGAGGTAGTGTGGTGATTTAGCTAGCTAAACACACCCCAAGGCGGTGGGTTCATGTCTGCCTCTCAACCAAGAAACCAACTATTACGAAAAGGAAATCTTGCAGTTCATGTTTCGCCAAGAAGTCGGTGTGACGTCTTTTATTCCATCTTGTTCATATCTTTTCCAACACGAGAAGAGGAATATGTCCAGGTATAACATATACAGCCTGTTGGACTGGATCTACGGCGGGGTGGATCCGAAGTTCGAGGGCAACGGGGGGCCCGAGTGTGCCGCCTTCCTGGCGCCCCAGCAGCGCATCAGCGAAAGTCTGGTCATCGTCCTCGTCTCCCTAGTGGAGATTTGCGTGGCGCTGAAGAAAATAAACCTCTCCAAAGAGCTCAAAGTGGTCGCAAAGGACTGCACGAGGGCAAAGGAGGACAGTCTGATGAAGAACTTGTTGCTGGTTGCCCTTTGCATGACTTTTGGAGTGGAGGTTGGGTTCAAATTCGCGACCAAGACCGTGATATATCTGCTGAACCCCTGCCATGTGATGACCATGGTGCAGGTAAGGAGTGTGAGTGTGTGTGTGTGTGTGTTTAGACTACGTGCATGTGTGTGCACTCCCAGAATGGGTGGTTAATGTGAAAGCAACGGCCATCACATTTGAAGACTAACTTGTATTTAGCTCCTTTTCTTCCAAACAGACAGAGTTGATTGGCTGTTTATGGTTTATATTGTAATATATGAGTAGACTTTGATGGTACTGGTTCCATCGCCCATTCATTGGTCTGACCTCACCCACCTACAGTATGGTGAAACACCATGTTCCCCCCCCAGGCAGTTATCTAAGTACTTTTTACTTCCTTGCGTCAGGAATCAACAGGCTAAACACGTGGTTATGTTTTTCTTTGACCATCTGATACTACACTTTGTACAGTGTTTACATGGGTTGTTAAGTGTAAAGTATCATAGCCACGACTATTATTAAGAAGAGGAAGGGAAATATGTATATATTAATGTGTTCATTTAAAGGAAAATAACTTGACAGAATAGCAAATGAACAGTAACCACAGTTAAAAAAGGGAACACACAATTTAAAAGAAAATGAAAGTTTGGAGAATTGCAGGGAGCATTCATCTCTTCTGTGTTGGGGAGGTGGTCAAAGCAGAGATAAGACTAGTTGTCTCATGTTCAGCCCATGAGGTATGCAACAGGAGCTGGGCGTAGTCTGTTTTGAAGCCATATGATTGTTTCTGACCGCTTTAAGCTGCTGAGGAGCAGCCCAGTCTGAGCTAAATTCATAACAGTTAGCTAGTTGAGAGTTTGGTTCATGTAACATAGGGATTAAAGTGGGTGACGTTTTTGTTGTGTTTCGTCAAGGTTGAATCAGAGGTTACGGTTCAACACAACACAAAAGTTCTCTCCGCTGCCGTGAAAAAATACAGCACCTGCATGCTTTTCTTTTATGCCCCCTGGTTGGCTGACCTTCATGGTACATGATTGCACACCATGGGTCATGGCAACGGGTCACTGCCAGCGGTGTTTTTAATGCATTTGTCATACACATGCACTGTGGAGAACAAGCAATATTGATGTATTCTGATTACTTCAGATCACATGGCAGCAGTGTGATACCTTGTGGACTGATGAATTGCTTGCCGTGATTAAGAATTGACTGATGGTAGCAAAGTGTCCTTGGTGCATGATGATAAAGGTAAAGATGATCCACAGTAGATATCCCTCATGCATGTTGACACTCGAGTGTGATCAGAAGAGGCAGTTAAAGAAAATAACCGATAAGGTTTAAAAAACAAAACAAAAGAGGTGCACTGAAAGGTAGAAGCTACCAGTTTGTTTTAAATTTTCTATTTCACTTTTGAAACAGGATAACAGGAAGGAGTTGTTTCTGTCAAAGGGATGGCTCTGCGGGCATTGCCTCAAGGAGTGTATTTGTGGCAGGGAAGAGGGCCAGAGGGTTCAGTGAAACAGAAAAATAGGTGGAACGGGAAGTGCGTTATGCGGTCTTACTTTTCAGAATGTGGTGTTTGTGTGCATGATTGTGCAATAGTTGTCCTGCAGAATATCTGACAGCTTAGCAGTGGGAATTATTCTAAGGATGTTTCTTTGTTTGACTGTATGAGTGTGCTTTTTGCAGTATTTTGGTGTTTTTAATCCCTCATCTCATAAAGAAAGCTTGCAAAGAACCTCTACACGCCTTTTTTCCCGTCTCCTTAACAGCTAGGCAAAAAAACAGTGCATTATGAGTTCATTTTATAGGATCCCATAAAGTTCCCTTGGTGCCTAGTGAGATATGCTCTAGTTGTTGCTCTAGTTGAAGTTAACACAGGCCTTGAGTAATCTGCACAGGACTTTTCTTCCTGTGTGTTGTTAAAAAGAATATAACCACCACTTGACTGTGTTGCTATGCTGCAGCAGGTTGCTTGCCCGGCAGTGTCATTATACACCAGCCTGTTTGCTGGAACGATCCACTAGCATTGGTTAAATTCAACATTTTCAAATGGACTAAATATCAGTGGCGATATTATTACTAAACACAGAATACTGATGTTTACTCCAAAGAGAGAAAGAAAGAATGAAGAGAGATGGTCACAGACTGCACACAAACGCCAACCTCATTTCGTTACCGTGCTGTTTTCTGCCAAAAAAAAATATACACACACACACACACACACACACACACACACACACACACACACAGTTGAGTTCACGCACATATCAGAAACACCAGCCAAGTGAGCATCACCCAGAACAAGGTGAGAGGGAGAGAGAAAGATAGAGCGCCCCACGGGGGGTGAAGAGTTCACCGTCCGATAACTGACAAGTTGATGCTATACATTTGACAACACAGTTGTCTGTTTCGTTTTCCTCCACATTGACCAAGAGCGGCCACCTCCCCACGCTGACAGACGTCTGACTGATTGCTGACTGATCAATTTACTGTCATGCTTTTTCATGAGTCCAGTGGATGTGGGTGGGGCTCCAAAAAACTAAAAAATCAAATAGCAGATACCACACAGTACAGATGTTATGAACAAATCGAGAGATAGTGTTCTTGTATAATTACTGATAATACAAAAATAAACAGCCACATGTGTTTTCTTGCTTTTCTTTTCTGTGGTGTGGTGGTGGTGTAGTGTCAGGACTCCTCTTCTTATGCCAGGAATCAGATGCTACAGAGGCTATTACTGAAATATTATTACTCAAATGTAATAATCATAATCAGGACTAACTCCACCATCTTTTATAGTTGAATTTGTCATACACTGAGCATGTTCCGGGATGAGAGAATAGGTTAAGGAAATTGAATTTCTCAGCTGTGTCTCAGCGGTGCTTATGGTCAAATGACTCATTACCTCCTACAGGATTCTCCAGTGAGCTGGGTGTTTCCTATAACCCCCGCTGCATTTCTGCAGCAGCTTTGAATGGGTTTAAAAGGAGTTTTGAATACTGCTTGGTTGCACACTGCAGCAATGACAATAAAGACTCTGTGTCTATGCTCCATAGGTTGAGAGCTTGCCTGTGAATTGAAGTGCCAAGCCGTTAACAAGTGTGAAACAAATATTTACAGTTTAACGGATTACAGTATCAGCATTATCTTTAAATACAGCCACATTCATCAGCTGTAGCAATAACATCCAGCAGATCAGATTATCGACTCCATCTTTCAGATGTCGCTGAAAGCACTATACTGTATTACTCAGTGACTACACATGCAAACAGGAGGTATGGCATATCAGTAATGACTTATGTCAATCTATCAATAGGCCATTGAGCTTTTCTTTTTCAGCAGTTTTCCATTACAGCTCGAAAGATCATTATACAATCAGTGCTGTACCTTTTACATTTGATTTGCTCTGCAACAATGCATTGGGTTATGTTTGCACTGTATAAGTATGTTGTGAAGGTAGCCTCAGATTGACCATAACATATCCAACATTACCCACTATAAACAAACCACGTCAGCCTGAACTGTTCATTTTCTGTTCCAGTCTTTTATTAGTTGTCTACCACAAGGTTCCTACGCAATAAGGAAAAGTATGGAATTTGATTTAAGTAATTTTCAGGTATGGAAAAATATTTGTGTTTTGTGTGTGAGAATGAGAATTTAAAAAAAATTAATTGATCACACAAGCAGAGTGTTTTTTCGTAGCGTTTGAAGCGGGCAGCCACAATGTCTACCACTGTGCGAGGGAGTGCGGTCCAGAGCGAGCTTGATGTCGTCGAAAGCAAAGTAAGAAGTATGGCTATGCAGAGCTGCCTCTGAATCTGCAGGTCCCAGCCCAACAGCTCTGCTCCAAGTGCCTTACGCTGCGCTCCAGTTGAAGACTCCAACTTCCGACCTCCAGTTTGTAAACACAATGGTGTTAAAGGCTGGAAAATGCAGTGCGTTTGCGTACACAACAGGGTGTTCAAGGAACCACTGTTTCCGTGGGGGGAAAAAAACCCTGTTTTGCTACGTTTCGTCGGCTCTGAACTCGCCCCTGTTGAATACCACAGAAAGATCAGTTTGTCACAGTCAGCCATGTTTTTTGTATACGTTTACAAAGCAATTTCAACCAGGTTACCCACTGGGTATGGATCTCACTAGCCCAGGATTAGTAAAGTAGTACCTAGCTATAATCTTCTGTCAATTATTTGGCAACATAATAGCATACATAGTCAGAATGTAACATCCATATTAACAGTTGGACTTTTTGGAGAAGAATGGAATTTTGATACGGAAAATGTGCAGCAACCATGCTTGCAGTATTTTTCTGGAGGCTGAAGATAAACACACAGTGTTTGTGCCCCGGAGGAAAGGGGACACCGGAGCTCGACCCTCATGATGAGCAACCTGAGGGAATCCATGGAGTTGGAGGGGGACACAGATATGGAAGTAGCACCAGATGGCTCAGGTACATCATTTGTATTCTCTTGTTTGAAAAGAGAGTAAATCAAATGGATTCAAGTTGTGTTTAAACATTAATTTACACCAACAAATGAGCCATGTTCTATTGTTTTTAGCCGCTTCGTGTTCCAACGGGGTCGACAGTGCTGCAGCTGAGCAGGAGCTGAGTGCGGCCAGCAGTCTTCACTGCATCTCAACCCTCCAGCGGCCGGGTTGATGCAACCTAGACCTGCAGACCTACAAACGCAAAGAGACTCCATGTATTCATTTAACGAGGCTGCAAAGAAATAAGAATTCTTTTATGTGACATAAGCTGTACACTGAAAGATTAACTTAATAAATAGTGTTATATTTTCCCATACCTGGTGTTTTTACAAGCAACGCATCACATCCACACACGGGCACACGCTGTTTGTCTCAAATGCCCGGGGAGAGGGTAACAAACTAGTGAAAAATATATGAAACTATGGATGTATTTGCTCGCATCAAAAACGCCATCGGTTGAAACCTCATTTGTCTTACTGGTCACTTTTTATGAGAATAAATTTCACAGCACGTGAGTATTAGTTACAGATCAAATAGAATATGGTTCCAGAACTGAAATGATCAACTAGCAGCTTCAGCAGAGTTCAACCCAACAAGAAACCAATAGAAAAGTTTTTGCTGGCCATGGACGGAGTATCAGTACACCTGAGTTTGTGCTTCACACACATCGAATCGATTCAGCAACTCCAAGAATAACAAAACAGGCTCTCATATTAATTATGGAAAAACTCATCTGTTGCTGACCTTCAGAGGCACCATGCTGCCTCTTGCACTAAATAGTTTACCAGCTCAGTTTGTTTGTCCTCCAGTTCAGATAAAATTTGGGTTGCACACAAATATTCTTTCACTTTTTCACTTGGGATAAGGTCCTTGGAAGTTTTATGAAGAAAAATCAGCCAAATGTCTGTGTTTCACCTGTAAACACCCTGTTCAACACTTTAGCAGAAGTCAGGAAGTCACCTCCTCCAGCAGCTGACTGTCACACATCAAAGGTGACGACCTGGTGAGAGCGCTGCTCCCTACTTGACCTGTTTGAGGAAACGCTGCCAAACTGTTTCGCAACCTGATGGAAAAAATAAAGCCGATAAAATTGAAGTGTAGAAATAACACTGGAGCAGTTAACATTTGTTGAAGGTGTTTTTAAGAGAGCTGATAGCAAGACCATGCACATGATTAGCACATTAACAGTCATTAACAGTTTGCGTTGCTGATTAAATTTAAGGTCAAATTTGTTCAAAATAACACATTTTGACAGATTTAGTAACGTTGATAGTAAAAGCACACAGCAGGAAACTATGACACATAATACCATCTCACACTGTAAAGTCTTGATGAAATAACATGGCAGAGTTTGGCAGTTAAAGAAGGAAACCAAATATAAAATGTTGACAAGATATTGTTAGAATCTCAAGCTGACACAGTACTTGTGTTATTGCATATTATGCAAAGGGTTTCTAATAACACAGTGGATCAGATAAACGTGTGTTGTCTATCTACTGAAAACCCAGAATCCTCTCTTCCAATATGTACTGGATTATACTCAAGTGGTGTTACTCGCCTCTAAATAAGATCATGACTTCATGGGCCAGCGTCCCAGACAGGGATTAATCCTAGTTCTTGACTGAAGGGTTCTTCTGAGCAGGAACAGATTTAGCATAGTCTCGAATCAACTTAAAAGTTTCATGAAGGAAAATTTGTTTGTCCAGTTACACATTGATTATTTGGTTAGTTTTGTGTCTGGATCAAAGAAAGATAAGTCCTTATTGACCGAAATGACTGGCTCAGTAATTTGCATGAATCCATTTCCGAGTGCTCTCTTGTGTACAGTGAAAATGCAGTAGAGCTGAAGACACTGCGGGAACCCACACTTATGTTGCTGTCATAAACAGGAAAGCATGTGCACATTATTGTATTCATATGCAACTGCTTCCATTAGTGAAATATGTTTGCATATTTCACTAATGGAACATTAGTATGCTCATATTCCTGTTTAACAGCATGTTCATATTGAAAACATCTGCATGCAATGTTTATTATCGACTTATTTTGTGGGCTTGTTCATGCTGTGAGTATGGAACCCCAAACAGGGCTTAACAGTAAGGATTGCCCGATTGCCCGGGGGAAGTAAAATGCCACAATGGACAAGTAAATCTAGCATTTCACTTGCATAATTGCGCAAGTGGTAAAAAAAAAACAATGTATACATTTTTAATTATCATTTTTTCCAGAGCTGATGATGGAAGTAGCTAAGGAGTGAGCCATCTCACTTCCTTCTCATCTCTGAGAGCTGCACAATCACAGTACCGATCAGACGCGAGAAAATGGCGGCTGGGAAGCTGAAGCACAAACAAGCATTTCTAATCATCCTGTAAACAGGATTTTAATTAGGTGGCGTCGGAGTATGTCGGCACAACATGACAATGTAGTTTTTGTTGTTTTTTGATAACCGCTAATAAACAATTTGTATAGGGGCATGCAGATTAATGACCCAACTGCAGCTTTGATGTTGAACCCTACCAAAGTGTCAAATATTACAGCTGGGGTAGGCAACATTGGAGAACTAGCAAGAGACAGCTAGATTTTTAATCTGTATCTAACTGAAAAAAACCCCCACCCTCTCCCTTCGGGCTTCCCTCCAAAGCCACTCCCACAAAACCCAGTGCTCGTGCAGAGTGCGTGCCTCTCCTCCACAGATATCGGATCTTTTTCATTTTTGTGTCAGAGCATTTGATTTATTGATTGCTGTCTCGGGATGTAAAGAGAATTTCAACATTTATAACAAAAAATGCTTCTGAAACAAATTGTCTAGCCTAGCTTTAAATGAAAACATAAATAAGTATTTGAGATAAATGAGCACATGAATAAATTGGGTGAAATTTATAAATGTAATGATAATTTTAATGATTTAGGAAATTATTAAACTCATTATTATCACATGTCGTTTCATCATTCCAAGTCCATTTTTGGTTCATAATAGAAATTTCCATTTCAAAAGTCTGTTTTGTCCTAATAACACTTTTATTTCATGTCTCTTTTTATTTTGTAATGTGACATTTCATAATGCCACGTGCCTCCTACCTCTTTAGCAAACGAGCTCAACATCTTTTACCAGATGTAGCCAGTAAGTTCCTGTTTGCTAGAGCAACAACAATGTCAACGTAATATACCTAGTACTATGAATAAACACAGACACAAAATCTAACATCTCCTTAGATTTATTGAGATTAACAAGTGAAGAGCCTGTTTCTGTGATTCAGAACCTGTTGCTCTCGCTGGTTGGTTTGAAAGGTGAGAGGGCAGCGACAGCACTGTCATGAAAAGTGAAAATACTTAAACTTGAATGAGGGTATTTCTATACTGGGATACAAAGATATCCAATAAATTTGTTCTCACAATTGCTAATTGTTTGGCTGACAGCTTAGTCATCAGTTCCTCCTGGCCCAGCATTCCCAGCCTCGGGCTATGCGGCGGCGGTAGTCCCTCCTCAGCTCCCTTTTGTTTATTTTGTGCACTTTACAAGCTCCAGACACCAGTCTCACCCCTACACTACTGACACCACTGATGTACACATCCCATGCCTTTTGATGTTCTGTTACATAAATAATATAGTTACTTTTGTTAAATCCATTACTTTAGCTACTGTTTGAAACGGTACTTTGAAAAACTGGTTCTCCAGCGCATAAATAAGAACATCCCGGTCAGCCTGGACCCTCACCAGTTTGCTTTCAGAACCAACAGATCCACCCAGGATGCTGTCTCTACTGCATCTTCTAGTGCTCAACACCGGAGCCCCCCAGGGCTGTGTGCTCCGCCCGCTCCTGTTCACGCTTGTACGCCTATGACTGCAATCTCACGCAACATAAAGAAAACTCTGTACTGAAGTTGCGGGCGACACTACCATCATCAACGATGAGACTTACAATTGCGAGGAAATCTTGCAGAGTGGTGCAGATACAGCAGAACCAAGGAGCTGATCGTTTATTTTAGAAAAAGGAGGTGAAGACACACTGCCTTCTACATCAGTGAGGTGGATGTGGAGGTGTGGAATTGGTTTGATGTCTGACATGAGACAAAGGATCCAAGTGACAAAGTTTCACCGCAGGCAGCTTAAATGGAGACAGTTGGGTTCTCTGGCAGCTGACAGATATCCTAGAGCAAAGGAGAACTGTTGCAAATGCCTTATCTCGAATGAAAAACATATCTGGACAAGATACACAGAGGGAAAAATGGTTAAATACTTTGGAAAATTTCTACATGCATTTAAAAGTTCAGAATTATACATTTAACGAAATCTGCCTTGTGCTAAAAGCTTTTGTTTGTTGGTGTCTGCAAAACGTACTTGTGGAAATAAACTTCAGTTCTGTTCACAGTACAGGTTAATATGAGTTGGTGGGTGTAGAAGAGATCAATCCCTAAGACATATCCCCTGGCCAGAGGGTAGTTGTACAACAGATCTCAAGTAAATTGCTTTCTTGTAATGCTTTCTCCAGCCTTTGGCTTCCAGGCAAACTAACTCTTTCTTGTGTCAGATGGTGTTTTGAACCAATTCCTGTTTGCATGGCCCCAATAGCACAGTCGCTGAGCATAGATGAGATGAGAATCTACATTGTAACCTATTTTCTCATTGAATTATAAAGCCAACATGTGCGTGGATGCTTTTGACAGAGGAAATGAAGGATTAGAAAGCACTTGTAACCATTTTCTCCTTTGTTCTCAAATGTATAAAATATGTTCTAAACAAAATATCAGCAGCCGTCATGTTGGAGCAGTGCAGCTTTTGGTAAATCATTTGTCAAAGTCAGTGACCATAAATTTCAAGAAGCCTGACAAAAGCACATCAGTGTTGTTAACGCAAAGCATTTGGGGACCCAACAGAAATTGATTATTTTCCTTTCCCATTTCCACGAGCTACGAGTGGGAGATTGTTTCAATCGACATTAAAATACATTGATGCTGATACCAGGCAGCCATTTTAATGCTTACTTTAAGTCAAGCTGTTCCATAATAATGATTTTATGCAATCTCTCATCTTTCTCTGTGCTTTCCTCAACAGATCTTCTTGCTGGCCTGCCCGCCATGTAAAACAGCAATGGTTGTTTTTAGGTGAGTGTATTTAACCCTGGCTCATGTCTGTCTGTGTCTGTGTTTTACCCTTGTTGCATTCTGTGAAATTAACAATCTATTTTGGCAACATAGATCTCTAGTTGTGCTAAGTGTGTTTAGTTCTTATTGTAAAAGGGTCACGACTCAGTTTTTTTGCACCATTTAATCATTCACGCTCCATTTCAACCTGCCGTAGAAGGCACCCGTCATGGAAGCAAACCTTTATCTTTATTTATTTAATCTAAAATGATTGGACAGAAAGACCCAAATAAAATGTTTTATTTTCATATGAAAGCAATTTCCTCAGGGATTGTAATTATTTGTAGCAGTGTACTGGGTTTTCAGTGTTTTACTGTAATGGATTTGTTCGGGTTTATAGTCTTCTCTCCTCAACAGCTGCTCTGGTCTGGGCAGTTAATTATTCAGGAGCAATGGCTGTGTTTTGCCGGTGGGAACACAAAGTTGAAATAAATACATGCAGGGTCACTTTCTGTTGCATTAGCCCATGGGAGTCACACAGTGAACACCTGCCGTGAGTGGTAGCAGCTTTACTAAGGCAATGTCGCTGTGTCTTACCTAACATGACCGTTAAGTAGCATACTAAAAATAAAATGAGTCAGTTTGAGAAGCTTTAAGAAACACTTTCCAACAAGTCTTTCATCTTTGGAAAACCAAATACATACAAAAATAAGTAAGTAAGTAAAAAAAATGTTTAGTTTGTGTAAACATGGAATTTTATATGTACCTTGATAAGATGTCAAGTGGAACGTCACAGTTTTTGTATCATAAATGCCATCGATCTATGTCTTAAGATAGCATGAAAAATAATTGATATAAGAAAACTTGAAGCAACTACAAGGAACTTTCTGGTGGACAAAAGTGCTAGAGTCTCCACTGCCTTTTGTCATAAAGATCTTGATCTGGCTAGCTTGTGAATTTGTTTTTTAAGTGAGTGAAAGAAAGACACAACTTATTTTCAATTTATTTTTCTTTTTGAACACAGCTTTTTGCAGACATGTCCAGAAAAAAGTCATAATATTAAGAGAATAACGTCCACTGGAAGTAACGTTATCCCCTACAGACTGTTTGGGACTGCATGTCGCATGTGAAACAGAAAGTAACTAGAACACTTTAGATCAGGTAGAAATCTCACCACAAATCTGCATACGTTAACTTCAGCAGCTCTGATAAAGTGCAGTTCACAGTCCCAAACAGTTTTTAGATGTGTATGTTACAAAACTCTACCAGCTACATTACCACTCGTCACAGCTGTCTGGACTCACAGCGCGAGCAGTGCAGTTGATTATTATCAGGGCATATGCCGGTGTGGCATCAGCTGGGCGGAGTTGATTAGCTCCGCAAGTCTATCTTATCAGTTATACATTTGTATTTCACTGCGTGAGAAAATTAATGTGTGGCTTGACTGACAGCATGTGAAAATGTCAATTGCGTGAGTCTCACACACGCGAGACAGCTTTTTACCTGACGAGATATCTCGTCACAATTTAATCTTGCGAGATCTAAACCCCTACTCATTACCATTGACGGCAACATTGCCCAGCACCAAGCTCTAAAAGCTTTAGAGCTGCTCCTCCTTGTTGTGTTACTCCCTGTTCTACAGATGCACATGTGATGAACAATTGCTGTCCTCGCTGACAAAGTCATTGTGTTTCCTGTGACTGCTCCTGTGTGTTCTACCAGTTTTAATGTGAAGAAGCTGCATCAGCAGTTCTATTAATATAGCTCTGATACAGTGTTAAATAAACACAGTACAGTACACTGAGGCTGATAGATTCCTCATACATATGAGGACAACTTGAATCCTGAGCGGGATTGGCAGACCCTGCTATTAACAATTAAAACTGCTATATAGAGAAGTAATTACATAATGCAAATGCAATGAATAGCTATTGCAGGAAAAAAACAGCCCAAATAGTATAAAATTGAGGTGTCATTTCTTGACCAAAGGCATCAAATCACCATGATTTTTATCGGGATACATTTGGTGGTGCCTTTTCAGAACTTTTTTTTTTTTTTTTGTGATCAAAGCTCAGTGAAAATGTGATGAAACATTTTATAACATCATATTTTCCACACATAATTGTGCCTCCTCTTCATGCATAAATGCAGCTCCAGCTTTTATGTCAGTGTGAAAATCAACAGCTTGTGTATTCAAGAATCGTCGACTACGTCTGTCTTAAGACCCAAGTAGCCTCCCTTCTGCGTGCCTTCAGCGCCAGCGTTGTGTGAGAAGCAAACATATACTAATATCTTGTGACAGCAGAATAACATCGGTGACTTTGTGTACATTGATGATAATAAATGGAAACGTGGATTTACAGATGTTGAAAAGTGATGGTCATATGCAGTGAGTCATATTTGAAGATAAATGCCTGTTTCTCCCACATCGCAACAGTATCAACTGACAGTGACACTTACACATACCAACACCTCTTTATAAATACACCATTTCAAAATATATTTTCAGACGTGAAAGGCGGGAAAATACTGGGCAGAGGTCGGTAATGATCAATAAATGTAGTGACTGAGAAAGAAGCAAACTGTTTATCCAAAAGGTCTGGATGCCCCCGGAGTGACAGCGGGGCTCATGTGAAGTGACATTCCTGCAGCACTGCTGTTTTCCCAGTGACCTTGGCTGTCACAACAGTTATTTTGGCTTGTTTGACAAAAAGAGCAGTCAGAGGATTCAGATGTAGGTCCACATTTTGACACAGCTCCTGGGCTTTTGTGTACGTTGGCTCTTAATTGAATAATTGTTGGTTAAAAGAAACATTTCTCCTCATGTTGGATGTGCAGAAGTTAACTGAACAAGCATCACACTCCCTCTGTCTGCAGGAGCAGACAGGCTGTGTGTGTACTGAATGGTGAGTGAGACGGGAGCAGCTGAAGATACTAAGTACTAACTAAAGACTGGATTATATCTAAATGCATACTAATATCGCATTAACAGCTCGAGTTACTGATTTTTGATAATCTTGACAAGCAACTTTGTGTGATTTCCTAATGGATCCTAGAAATGTCAAGTCTTTACGACATATACATCGAGTGAAATTGCCTGAGCCATCAGTGACCTGACTTCTCACAATCAGCACTCTCACTAGGAACTGACCCTGACAAAGTCTGAGAGACAGCTGCTGCTAACAGCATCGGGGAGGACTCTGATTAGTTTTCAGCAACAGAGAACGTAATCTATGCTCTCCTCCACCTGTTCCTCTGTGCCTATACCAGCTCTGATCGATTCAAACTAATATGTCAGTAATGCAATGTGGAAATTATTGTTTAATTTTTCCCGGGGTCTCGGGCAGACGTGATGGAAGACATGAGGTTTATCAGATCTTTTTTTCAGTGTTGTTATTGTTGGTTTATATTTCTTTCCCTGTGTGTTTTCAGGCTGCAGGTCCACATGTTGAACGGTGCGTTACTGGCTTTAATGTTCCCTGTAGTCAACACTAGACTGGTAAGTAACCAGTACTGGCAAATCTTCATCAAAACCTTGATCTCATTCAGAAATGCTGCTGCTTTCATCCTGCAAGCTCTTGTTATGTCTGTGAGGTTATGGATGGGTGGCTTCGTAGTCCATATATTAATATTATTAATTTATTTTTATGAAAGCTCAACCAGAGAGCAAGTTCTATCCCATAGTGTTGATGCGTTTAGGACAATGGTTCTCAAACCTTTTCTGCCATGACTTCCTTCCAGAAGCTAAAAAAAGTCACTAATTTGTGACATTTTATCTCCTTGTCAATAATGTCACATTTAAATGAATGTGATGCTCCAATGAATGTCGTTCCCCTACTAGAGCCCAAATCTGAAGAATAAATTCCAACATGCAGAAGACAAAATGTCAGACCAAAGTGGCAGAAAGCAGGAGCTTGATTGATGATAGAAATCTGCTGTTTTCAGTCAAGGAAATCTGAGGATATCAGTTCAGATCAGGCAACACTGCCTGCTTGAAAGGCTTTCACTAACAGCTTCAGACAAAGACCAGATGCACTAGGTAATGCATTAACTTTAAATGCAAAGTTTTGACTGTTTGGACTTGGAAGAAAAGTCCAATTCTAACATGATCCCTGTTAACGCCAAATGCTCCTCTACGGAACAACTCTTACCAAAGTCAAGCAAAGAATTTGGGCCATTATTCCATTTCCCTATTACGTAAATAACTTGTTTTGTTCAACAAGGGAGGGATGCCTTCACAGAACTGTTGAACCGAAGAGGCAGTTTTCACCTACCCTCATAAATCTTCTTGTAAAAACATTAAATTATACACTATATGTGTTAAAATGTAATAAGTAATGGTGCACATTTACAAAGAACAATTTACTTGTTTTTATTAATGAAACAACACTACAAAACAATACAATCTCTGGCCTGATACTGGCCTACCATTAATAATGAGCTCCATGCGTACAGTGTTATGTATGTTTTGTTTTTTCATTAAAAAGTAAACTAGTCCTTTGACATGATATTTTTGTTTTGTTATCCACATTGTGCAACTTCCGGTCATTTTCTTCTCAGACTTTGAAGAGGCTGAGGTGTCTGCTGATCCTAGGTATTTCACTCGCAGTAGAATAATGGATGAGTATTGCTTTCAAGCAACGCTAGCAGCTCATGTGAACAGAGCACATTTGAGCCATCTCACGTTGTGAACGCTGGTCTGTGGTCAGTACATCAGACAACAACACGGACAGGAATTGCAGCAAGTGTGTCTGTTGCCTCTGATTTTAGATCAACAAAGTTAAGACTATATACAAATATTACCCAAATGTTCAGTTACCTCCTCCGTATGTCATAGTAAAACAGTAAAAAGTCCAAACAACACTGCAGGGGTCAAAGCAAATGGAATTTCTGCTTAGAGCCTGAAGAAGATCGGGGGCAGCTCTGTCTGTATGCCATCATTAATGTGTGTAAATAATTAAAGTAGTTCATTTTCTCCACAGCTTCCATTTGAGAAGGAGATCTACTACATCCAGCACTCCATGCTGTACCTGGTGCCTCTCTACCTTTTCAGGAAAGGAGGTAGGTGTTGGTCTTTACTAATTACATCCGTGTTCTTTCCATTCGCTTCAACAGCCACGATGAAATACCTTTAACATGCCAGTCATGCCATGATGTTTTTTATCCTTGGATGGATTCCCTTTTTGTTGATGACATTTGAATTTGCTGTGGTTAACCTGCTTTTTCATTGCCTGTTAACTTTGTGGTGGCTATTACTGCTCGCGGCAGCTACACAGTTAATCCGTTTATTCTAAACAAGCGCCTGTTGCTGCTTCTTGTGTAATGCTTACATTCCTTTTCACCTTCTACCATAGAGATGAACATGCTACTGAAGAGCAAATGTGAAAATTCTTGGACTGGGAAGAGAATCATACAGTATATGTCCATGTTGCTCAAACTCTGCAGCATTTCACCTTTTAGTATGGAATAATACAAAGTTCTGACATGTGGGGTAGTGTAACAACATGAAGGCCTATCTGCTAAACTAAATTCTACTGCTTGGAGATGCACTTACACTATTTCCCCCTGAAATTGCTGTGAAGGTGTCCTTAGAGTCACTTAGTGGTACATGCAAGAAGACAGACTTTTTACTGGGCAGCTCCCAGCTGTAAATGTGTAGAAAAGTTGCTCAGTTGACATTCCCTAAACAATTAAAGCTGTATCAAAGCTTAAAACTATAATCAAGACCAACTACAAACACAATGACAGGTGAGGTGCCAATAACATGTCACATAAACGAGGTGTGGAGCTTTCTAAAAATACAGTATTTAATTGGGAGTCAGGTAAATATCTAGGCCGTGTAGCGCAGTAATCAGACCTCTGCCTTCAGTGCCTCATTGTTCATTAGAAACTTAACACTGGAGCTACACAAAAGGAAATATGTATTGTTCTTGTTAGTTATGGTCTGTGCACATATAATGCCTTCCCCTGGTATTACTCTAGTAACTACCAGCCATGAGGAAACAGGAAAAGCCAGTTTGACACCTCATCCTGTTACTGGGTGTACTGCGGTTTCAGGGTGTTGCATCTGTTGACTCAACACACCAACAGGAAAGTGAATGGACATAGCATTTGGTTCTTCAGTGTTTTGCATGGTTGACCAGAGTTGATACGGGAGATACCTTCACATTCTGTGTGCTCGCTCTCTCTTTAACCCACAAATTGTCTCAGATGTTTTACGAGTGTTTGGTTTTGCAGGTGTGTACAAACCTGAACCTCTGGGGGACATGTGGTGGGCGCTGCTTTCAAATGGCATCCTGTTCCTCTATCACTTCCTCTTCCTGCAGGTCCTCGGCCTGGTAAGATGGAGCCCTCTGCTGGGCATTAAATGATATTTCACTGTGCTATGTACATGTGAGTAGATGCCACATCATCACTTATGTCACTGGTTTCATTTCCAGGGAGAGTGTCATTTATTCAAACACAAACATGTGGTCAACAGCATTTTTTGTAAATATTATTTCTTTTAATGTGACAACACTGAAGAAATGACGCTTTGCTACAATGTAAAGTAGTGAGTGTACAGCTTGTATAACAGTAAATTTGCTGTCCCTTCAAAATAAAACATCACACAGACATTTATGTCTAAACCGCAAATAGTTTGTGTGGCCACCATTATTTTCCAGCAATGCCTTAACCCTCTTGGGCACAGAGTTCACCAGAGCTTCACAGGTTGCCACTGGAGTCCTCTTCCACCCCTCTTAGAAGAGGCTTCCTTCTGGGACGACAGCCATGCAGACCAATTTGATGCAGTGTGTGGCATATGTTCTGAGCACTGACAGGCTGACCCCCCACCCCCTACCCCTTCACCCTCTGCAGCAATTCTGGCAGCACTCATACGTCTGTTTCCCAAAGACAACCTCTGGATATGACGCTGAGCCTGAACCTATCCCATTGAACCGCTGTATGGTTGTGGCCACCGTGCTGCAGCTCAGTTTCAGGGTCTTGGCAATCTTCTTATAGCCTAGGCCATCTTTATGCAGAGCAACAATTCTTTTTTTCAGAGAGTTATTTTCCATGAGGTGCCAGGTTGAACTTCCAGTGACCAGTATGAGGGAGTGTGAGATTTCACACCTGACATCTTGTAACACTATGACACAGGGGTGGGAAAATGGGTAATTGGGCCCAATTTGGACATTTTCACTTAGGGGTGTACTCGCAGCAGTTTAGACATTAAAGGCTGTGTGATGTGTTATTTTGAGGGAACAGCAAATTTACACTGTTATACAAGCTGCACACTCACTGCTTTACATTGTAGCAAAGTGTCATTTCTTCAGTGTTGTCACATGAAAATATATCAGATATTTACATAAATGTGAGTTGTGTGCTCACTTTTGTGAGATACTGTACATACTCTCATGGACACATGCTTTCATATTTATGTAATCCTTTATTAAAACAGGTAGTCCCATGGTCTATTTTCCAAATCAGACCGGTGTACAAGAATAAACATATGCAGTTTAAAGTCAAACACAGACCAGTTACATTAGTTTCAAATTAAATACTTTTTTTTTTGTGAGGAGCGTAGTATTCAAAAACCAGTTCTTCCAAGCTCAGTTTGAACAGCAACTGTGGAAGCTATGTTTGTAGTAGAGCCTTACAGATAAATAACATACAATGCAACTCCCTTCTATTGTTTAAGGAGGACCATCCCATCCATCCCAAAATGCAGTTTTAGTTGTAAAATGTTGCAAGGGTCTGCTTGTGGTAGTCCATTTTCCTGTGTCTTGCTTATATAGCCTCATCATTTTTGAGAATCCAGTCTCATTTTTGCAGCTGGTTAGGTCAAAATGAGTATCCTGTTTTGTGGCACTTGCTATTATTCTGTCCACTCGCAGTACATTACAGAAATTAGAGGCAGCAGCACGGGTGAGTCATACTGAATTGAATACTAATTAGAAGTATAAATCAGCTTCAGTTTAAAAGCAGGTTGTTAAGGTTAATAGAGGAAAAAATATATATAAATATATAGTGGCCAAATACTGGCTGTGTGATTGCAAAATTATGCATGGTAGTACTCTTAACTAATCTAAACTACCTTAAAGACCAAACTGCAATAGCAAAGAGAAAAAGTGGTCAGTAGTGGTCATTCTCCCCATCACTGAGTGAGCATTATAAGTTTCACAAAGTCGATATGTACTGCAGTGCTACTGCATTGGATTGCATAATGTTGGAAGGTGTTTATCATTTTTCACTGAAAACACTGAAGATCTATACAAGTCTTAACTAAATGGAGTGAATCAGCAGTCAAAGCAATATATGCAGTCAAATAATGAGTTGTAGAGGATTTACAGGCTATGAACTCATCCTTCAGTCAGTGTTTAAGAGCAGAAATGAATGATTATAAACACATGTACAGTGAAGTCAACCATGCCATTTGCCAAAACCTCATTATCCAACTGCGTAGTGCTTATTATTCTGATTGGTATCAGCGTCATATTAGGACTTAATTCTTCCTCAGCCTGTCTGTCTCTGTTCCCTTCCAGGCAACTGAGGTCAACCTGAACAACATGCTGTGCCCGGCCGTGTCCGACCCCTTTTACGGGCCTTGGTACCGGGTGTGGGCTACGGGCCACCAGACCCTGCTGACCCTCATGCACGGAAAAGTCCTCACGCTCCTCTCGCAACACACAGGCTACGTCTGCAGATGCCTGCTGGACACACTCCGACTGCGCAGCAAGAAAGTTGACTGAATGTCCATGAGGATGCACACAGACCTAGCCTTTCATTCTAAATGCCTGCTCCTGTCATGGAGATTTTTATTTTTCATCAACATTTTAATGCATCTTTTAAGACTTACCATCTGTTTTACTGAAACGTGAGCATTTCAGGGCCACTTAAACAATGTAACATTCTTTTAGTGTTGTAGTTGGCTTGCATACATACTTGCATGCACAAACATAATAGGCATTTTTAAGGCTGTAGTTAACATTGTGGAGTTAGCCTTTTTTTTTGGAATACAATTTCCAAAAACATGTATGTGAATTTGTGGACAATTTCTCAAGATGCCTTTATGTAAAGTTTTAAGGACAGAAAATAGGAGTCACATAAATGTCACTACTGGTCTGCAGTTGTTACACTTTCAGTTTTTTATGTGGTAGTTATGCTAGATCATATCTTAGTGGGTTAAAGCTGCCATTTTATTTGTCTCAAGTGTGTTTTGAAACAGGTTGTGAATGTGAGCTGTACTAGACGTTATTGCTTGTTTATAGTCTGAGACGTTTTGCTTGTCATGTATGTTCGCTTCTCTACGGAAGCCCTGAGAGGCGAGAGAGAGTGAGAATAATTTTTCTGGTGATCCATTTTCGATTAAATATTTTTTATCTCCTGTTTTTATGTTATGTTTTTGAGTTCCTTTTTTTTTTTTTTTTTTAAATCGGTGAAAAAAAACGTTATGGCAGGTGAAAAGTTTTTATTATAATACTCATTTTGGCCACAAGAGGCTCAGCACTACCTGATTTTTGAAATACTACTAAAATCATTGTTTTCTTCCAGTTGTTGCGTCTATTAAAATACCTTTTTTGTTAAAAGAAAGACATGACCGTAAAGGTACAGTGTAAGTATATTGTGTTTAGAGCGCATGCAGAAATGAAAACTCACATGCAGGTGATCAGCAGGCAAGGTGAATCCAAATGTAAGGAATTTAGAATGATCTGTTCTTAAGCCATAAACACAGATGAAAATTTAGATCAGACTTACGAAATGGGTCCCCAGAATGTTTTTCTCTCACTTGCCTCTCGGGACTTCCATACCTCTCAGTGTTGTCACGACTGAAAATAGAAACTTATTTATGGCGCCCCCACTTTACTACACATGTACAGGGTATGGAAGCATTCTTGTAGGTGGCCTCTTTTGTGATTCTGTCTCCAGCACGTTCAGATCATTCCAGTTGTGATAATCGGGGGACATGAGGATGTAGCGCTGAGATTCAAAGTGACGAACTTATGGATCTACACTGGGATATTATTACCTCTGCCAAGGAGGTTATGTTATTGTCTGTTATTTTATTGTGATATTGGACCACATTCAGTGAGGCATAAACTTGAGCGTGTCATTGGGATGAATGTGATGTTTGCCAAGATAGAGTAAATCTTGGCTAAATATGTATCTGGCCTCAAACCATGCATCATGACACTTGAATAGCATTTCTTGCTTGATACTCAAATTAATCTTACAAGGCATCCTAAATTTACTCCACCATTACAACTGTAATGAGACTCATTTTTGTAAAAAAAAAAAAAAAAACTCCACGTGATGATCTGCATGAAGTCACTTTGGGTCATTTACTGACTACCTATTCGAAAGCAAGCTAGCTAATTAAATTAAGATTGGAATATGTCATGGTATACCATTTCAAGTGTTAGGGGTGTGTGTTTTACTGTAGCATATACTGTACTTCACTGTAAAGAAGGGATAAAACAAACTTTTGTATTTCTATGGGTTCGAGTGTATGTGCTGTATTGACAATAAAAAAATGATTTTAGTTGACCAAAGTTCTCATTGAGTATATTTAGCTTTTCTTCCTTACTTACTTAGGGTGCAGATTGAATATCTCTATTACTGTACTTTAAATTGTCAAGGAATATTACTTTTGTGTCTCTGAGGGCTTGGCAATATGGACCAAAAAGTCATAGCCTATCCCTGTACTGTTAGGCAGAGTTCCGGTATAAAATATGTATTTTCTGCTAAGTGGGAGCAGACAAAACAAAGCAAAAAAATTTTTTCAACGGAAACGGTGGTTCCCTGAACTCCCTGCTGTGTAAACGAGTGCACTGAATTTTCCTGCCTTTTTAACACTGTTGTCTTTACAAACTTGTCACAGCTGATTGGGTAACACCTGAGACACGCCCACCAAACATTGCAAGGAAATGTCGTTAAGTCTCTATAGTACAATGAACAGTACCTTAGAAGTCACTCTCTGGCATAATTATTAATTACTGTTGTTTTTACACTTTGATTAAACCAATTGCGGGGTTTATGTGCATGTAACCAGCTGCTGGTGTCAGCTTCATATTTAACGGTCAGACATGGGAGTGGTATTAATCTCCTCAACTAACTTGGCAAGAAAGCAGATATGTGGAACTATAACTTAAATGATCGGGCCTCTCAGCACACCACAACACTCCACTGATGCCAAATTGCTGCCTGACTCATAAAAACTTGTGTGTTTGGGTTCACTGTTCTCTGTAAGGCCAGACAGGGCAAAAAGCTTTTAAGTGCAGTGAATCGACTGAAGTGAGCTGCATGAGAGTTTTCACAGGCCTCTAGCACTTAATACCACCACAGTGGCTGCAAAGAGGCCTCAAGGTGACTGTAGATTAAGAGGAGAAATATGTTAAAATATGCTGCTCTTCTCTTCAAGTGCTTGTTTTAGATGCAGGAACATACAGCACAGTGATTGTAGGAAATCTCAGGTATTAGGCATGGTGTTGTTACACATAGGCAGCAGATTGAACCCTTTAAATATCTCTGAGCACTTACCCTGAATATCATATAACAAGCAGCAACGTATTTTCCAGTACACCTGCCCAGACTTCTTCTGACTCGGTGTTGAGTGGTTTCGGTGAACTGGACTGAGAGGCAGGCAAAGCATGTGAGGAATCCCATCCTTCTCCTTTTTTTCCACAATTAACACTTGAAATGATGAAGTTACTTTGCAAACAGTACAAGAACAAAGGTATGGAAAGTAAAAACAGTGATGGTCTAAGCAGCAATATTAAAAATCTATAAGCAAAATTTATTTTAAATAAACCCTACAATGTCTGTCAGACACATTCATTCCAAATCTGTTTTACAGCAAGGTTGCATAGACCATGAACTACTGGCTTGGAGCCATTTTTATTACTGGTTGTTACTGTAAATCTTCATATTGGTCTAGTCAGGACTGAAAAATAATTATCAAACTGCAGTGTTGTTTCCACATACATTTTAAAACATTGCATATAAAACAAGACAACATGCTCACAATGATTATGTAAAATATATCCGCAAGTGGCAACGACTGGAGTCCGAACAGACTGCACAAAAACGCAATTTTTTTCTAAAGCAGAAGACTATATGAGGCTGAATTGAGAGATTAAAATGATTAAAGATTTCTGACTCTAGACCAAGCCGTGAGATAATTGCGATACATAAATTTTATTAATACTACATCACCTTTAGGTCAATGAGTGTCATATGTGCCTGAATAGTGGGTAAAATTTGCAACCAACCTGACAATTTTTGTGTGTGTTTTTCCAAAAATGTAAACTCGATTGTTACAGCGCCACCTTGACGTCAATGAGTGTCATTTTATGGACCCGAGTAGTGGGTGGAATACGCAACCCACCTGGTGACTTTTGCTCTTAAGCTGATGATACACGGAGCAATTTTTTAAGCAATGTTGCTGGGCAATCTTGCTGGTGGCAAGTCCGACTATGTTTTGAACGGATAGCGGCTGGCAGAGTGGTGGGGGAAGGGGATTACGGTAGTAATCTTTACTTATTACCATTGACGACAATACATAAGGTTTGCAATAAACACCACCTTTGTGAAGTTTACAGTGTTGAATTGTGAACAGTGTTTTACAAATACTTAATGTAGCATTTGTTGTGAGGCTATTGTAATGGAGTATGAGACACATTGTTGTTTAAGTTTTCAATGCTTTGAGCAGCACACACACAAAGTTGTATTTACATCTACTGTCTGGTGTATCAGTGCTTTATTCACAATTATAAGACTGTTATAATCAACATCATGATAAACCAACTGTAATTCCATCACAAAAACATTATTTCCCTGACTGAATGGGTGGCAAGGTAGTAGTATTGACTAGTCCCCCCCCCCTCCTCCTCCAGGAACTAAGAGCTCCCTTGTTTAAGTTTATGCCTTAGGTTTGTGAAAAAAGTTTTATACCTTGAATTTGTTTGAGCAATCAATGACATCTTTTTCAGTTACTGGAGCCAGAAAATCCTCATTCAGCCCACAGTCACAGCATGTGCTCAGCATGCTCTGCTGCTAGTCCAAACATCATTAAAGTGGTGTGACGGCTTAAGTCATTTCACATTATTTTGGAAGAGGCACAGGTACATCAATTCACACCATCATAGCAGGATTTGGACTACTTCATTTAATTCAAAGGGCCAGTTCACAGATGTCAATTATCCCTGTTCGTATCAAGACATGGATTGTTGTGTTTTTGCCCAGGTTTTGATAAATTTGTCTCTGCAATTCCTGCCACCAACCCAGTGTAGTAGGTGTGAATTATAATTGTTTCTTCTTTTTTCCAGAAAACAATGTACAGGTTAGTCAGGATAATCCACAGGCCTCACTGTGGACAGTTTTTTTAGTAGAAAAAAAGTTCCAATGAAAATGGCTGACAGCAGGTTTGGCATTCAACAAAGCCTTACACTCTGTCACGGTTTGTCGTGTGTGCTGGCAGGAACAGGTTTTAGGACCCAAACGCAGGACACAGAGGCTGAGCAGGTACTGTTTCTAGGTATTTATTTAAGTCCACAGAACTTACAGTAGAGTCTAAACCAAGGTTGTCCGCAGAGCAGCAAAAACACAGTCCATAAACAAATGATCCAGGGGAAGACAGAACTAAGGAAATCCAACAAACAAGGTAGCAGAGGCAGGCAAGCAAGACACACACAGCAGTGGATGAACATACAACGAACCAGCACAGCTGAACAGAAGCAACAAACATTTAAGCACTGGTAACAAGGAGGGCGGGAGCACAAACAGGTGATACTAATAATGACAGCAGACAGACACAGACAGGCAGGGTGATGAACAGACAAGAACACAGACAGATACCAAACAGGCCCAAACTAACAGAAATATGAATACATATAAACAGACAGGGTACAAAAGACCAAGGACATAAGACAAGAATCCAACTGGAACTCAAAACACAGAACAGACAAGCAGGCAGAGGGATACTGGAGGGAACAGACATGACACAGGTTACTGAACACATAACAGATCAGAGGAAAATATGAACTAATAAAGACACAAGCAGACAGATCACCAAGAACTACAACCAACAATGAAAAACAGACTGAAGCTGAGATTAAAGAGAACACAGAGCTAATCCTAAAATACAAGACACATACTAAACTAAAGGATGCAGATGAATGAAATAATAAACAAGGCTACACAGAAATTAAAGCAGAAAGATCAAAGTCATAATGACTAAACGGATCATAACCCCACAACCAGAAACACAGACAGTAACAGACCAATCGGCACAAGCACACAGAGTAACAGGATACAAGAAATAACTGAAACTCAAAACACAGACTAACTATATAACAGATACTGGACACCAGGCAATAGACAGGACAGAACCCAAAACTCAACATACTATAAGACAGATACTAACAAGATTACAAATAACATGACTGACTGAAAACTAAATGACCAAAGCAGAACAGACACAGACCACAGTGTGACACATTCACTCTTCTTCTTCTCCGTCTGTTTTGTTGCAGAGACAAGAAAAAGGTAACATACTGACTAGGTATGAGTGTATGGTGAGCATTTTCAACTTTGCGCAACTCTCCGGCACTCTGCCGGAGTGCATTATTGCTTGGAGCCTTTATTTTCTGTGTAGAGCTGCCAGTTGTCTGCTTTGGTAACTTAGTAGGTGTTGGGCACTCTACATCCTGCAGCACTGTTCTCACCAATGCTTCTGCAGTGTTATTATATTTACATTGGGAGATAATTCTGAGTTTACTTTGTTTTTCTCTATTTGTTTTGACACAGCACTTTTATCTTTTTTGATCTAAGAGCTGGGCCGCTCATTTTATTATAATTTGCGTAATTTACAATGTTTTTTATGCACTGTGTAATTGCTGCATGTGTTTCTCATATTTTCACTCTCCTGATATTAGTGAGAGACACGTGTTTTCCCCTGCCACGACTGCAGTAGGGCATAGGGCATCTAAGAAGGGGAGTGATAAGAGGGGCAGAGACCTGGAGGATGGTATGCTATATGGCCGGGGTCCAGTTCCCCCAAATTCAGCTGGAGAGAAGAAGCTCAGTAATAAGCAAAAGTGGGCTGAGCAGCACCAGATCTGTGATCCAAGGGTGGACTTACACAGTTGGAGGATATGCGTAAGACCATTGAATGCATGGCTGCAAATCACCACCTCCTTTGGACACCTGGCTCCTCCATATATTCATCCATATACTGTATGTCCCTTGCTGCCTCAGGTAACCTGGCAACTGCACCCAGCTCTGCACTCAGTATCCTAAATGGTGCTGCAGAGCACAGCCTGGATGGTGTGATGAAGGTGGGCGCTCCACTAGCAGGCAGTAGAGATGCCCACCACCCAAATAAGAAGTGCCTTCATCCTGTGAATGAGTTCCAGAAAGTCAGACTGTGCACATGGTCCATCCACTAAGCCTGGACAGTTGAGGCCTGTGGTTCACGGACCTCTATAGAGGCGTGGAAGTCTCCAGAGGCCTCATTTTGCAGAGCAGAGCTCCTCCCAGAGTTCTGAGGCAA